ATCTTTGCTTTTGTATTAAACATAAACATTAATGGTGTTTAATGGTGTTTCCAATGATTCACCTGCATAGGCAGAATGGTAGCTGCGGACCTGGTCAGATCTTTGAATAGACTCAGAGGTGCGAGTACATGCATGCGTGTGTACACAAAAGTAAGAAAGTGCCAAGGCAGATGGTAAATAAGAGAACACTTATACATACATAGATCTATTACCTTAATCCTCAAGCCTTGGGAAGGGGTATGTATTATTCTCAGGACACAAATCTAACAGTCAATTGGGGTATTTCTAGGGTGCCCTTTGGGGACCTCAATGGGCATCGTCTCCTCAAGGGGACTTTACCTGTAGCCCAGGCCAGGGAGTCCCTTGGGAGGGAGCCTGGTTGCCACTAGGTCTGGGCTGCGGAGGGGGCATCCACCACCGCAGTGTCCTCAGCAGCTTCGCTCTTCTTGGCCACAGCAACAGAGGCAGGCGTTTCCTCAGGGTTCTTCATCTCCTCCTCTCCTCTCTCAGGATCCTGAGCCTGGACACCAGGCACCTGCTGTGGGCGGCGGCGATGGTCGCTGGAGCGGTGGGATCCATAGCGTCGAGGGAATCTCTGCTGCAGACCGCCAGCGTTGCATCCACTCTCCTGGTCCTGCGCCTCCAGCTCCTCAGAGATGCCAGTTGAAGATCTTGGACCAGGAGCGGTGCCTCGGCCCCTCGGGCGACTCATCAGATAGCTGGGGCCAGGCCCCCTCCTCGGTGCGTCCTCGGGCTTTGAGATGGGGCCAGACCTGGGCAGGTAGGCAGCCCGCTGCCCGTTGGTGGGAGCGAGGACCGAAGAGAGGCGAGTCGTGGCCTGAACCCTGGGGAACAGGGGGAAGCGCCGCAGCCTCTGGTCTTCTGGGCAGCTGGGCAGGAGGCGCCTTGGGCCCTGAGCAGCTGTGCAGCGTCTCACAAAGCTCTTGCTGCTGCCCTCTCCTTCACCAAGGTCGTCCTCAGAGCCCCTGGGGCCGCAGGGCTGCTGTGCTTGGCGATGGGTGTAGAAGCTCTGGCGGATGGAGGGGCGGTTGGCCGCATAGCGACTCCCCTCCACTGGGGCACCAGCCGGCCCGGTCACATTAGCGGCCTCGATGCCCCGCTCGCTCTGCACCACGTCAAACTCCACGGTCTCACCATCACCCACGCTGCGCTGGTACTTGTGAGGGTTGTTGCGGGTGATGGCCGTCTGGTGAACGAACACATCTTCGTGGGTATCGTGCCTGCTAATGAACCCGTACCCATTCTTCACGTTAAACCACTTGACGGTGCCTCTCACCTTCTTGGCGATGACCTTCTTGGGTACCTTCTTCTTCGCTCCCGCGGCTGGGGTGGTCTTGGGGGTTGAGTCCCCGCTGAGGTTGCCAGCAACTAGAGCCTGGGGAGGATCTCCGCCTCCCAGTGACACCAGGTGCCCCTGCGTGGCTTGCGGGGAGACTGAGACGGCCACCTCTGTGGGGTTAGCCTCTCCAGCTTCACTCATGAGGCTTTCCGTCTTTGCTCGCCAGTCTTCGGGAATCCGGGGGCAATATGGCCCTAAGCAGGATGGCGGCGAGCAGGGAGGGGCTTGGGGAGGGTCGGTTTGGAGGCAGGAGCCTCCTTCCGGGAGGGTTTCAGGTCAGAGCCAAGGGCTCTCTGGCTTGACTCTAAAGTCTCTTGGGCAGGCCTGGGGCGTCTCCTAGGGCAACAGGAGAAGAACCAAACAGCGGCTGCACTGGTGACGTCTCAGTGGGTGGGGGTGGGGGGCTGGTCCTAGAGGAGGCTCGAGCTACGGGGCGCGGCAGGCCAGCTTGGTGCTGAGCTCCTGGGAACAGCTGCCACGTCATAGCACCTCAGCTGCTCATGGAAAGGAGGCAGACTCAAACATGGAGGAAGTCGCCTTCTTGAACACCCTCTTACTTGCTTGAGTGCTTGGTTGGGGAGCTTCACAACCTTTTAAGGACTATCTCTGAACGCTCCATTACAAATCTCTGGTCCAGTTCCGACAAATCCCTCATGTGCCCTCTATGTGGGTGAGGCATTCTGTGTAATTTGAGACAAAGTGACAACCTAGTAAAATGAAGACCCAAACAAAGTATCCTGCTGGGTTTTGTTTGCTTGCTTTGTTTTGCTTGGTCTTGCTTTGATTTAGAGACAGAGAAAGCCTACTAGGGATAGAAAGCTAGTACTGGGCAGGTAGGTTTAGTTGAATGGCGATACTTTTTAAGTAGAATATTCTGAAAACCCGATTTAAACGCTGTGCACATGCCTACATAAAGCAAATGATCAGGTGAGGGAATTTACTCTTGTTTAACTGCAGACTTAAGCCACCACTGCCACACACTGTCCCCACCACTGCCACACACCGTCCCCTCATTTCCCCTCCCCTTACCTCTCCCCCCTACTCCTCCTCCTTTTCGAGTGGCTTATTATGACTCTGTGACCTCCAGCCTACATTAGGGTTCTGATTTAACTTTGTAGAAGCCCCGAGTATTCAGCAACACAGTGCTGATACTGTTCTAAAGTATAGGGAGCCCTCTCAAACACAAACTTTCTGAAGTGATGGCAGCACATGATGAAGTGGTAAATCGTAACTATTCAGAATGAGTGAATAAATGAGAACCGAGTTTGCATTTATTAATAAGAAAAAACAAAATTAAGTCTGTTGGCCTAGCACTTTAGAGTTTACACAAAACACTCACATGCTGTGCATTTTACCTTGGGGCCCAAAGACAAGAAGTTACCTGCTAAAGTTATCATACTTAGTATGGGATTAGCCCTAAAAATCTGTCCTCAGATAGATTTCAGTGCAAGCCCTAGTCTCCTTCCAGCACACCTCACTGGCCCTCATGAACAGCTAGCTTGTCAAGGCCAGGGGCTTCTTTCAGAGAGGTCATGGCCGCTTAGAACCTAGCAGAAGCACCTCTGCATGCCTGATCTTTCCAGTCCCTGGGAACTCATCTTCTTCAGGGACAAAAATCACTTTCAAATCAACTGATGAACAAACCCTGCCTACACCCACAGTAACTTTCTGCCTATGACTGACTAGAAAACCAACCCTGTTTATTCAGGCATCATGGCTTCACCATGCTGGTACATATAATACAGATTGGAAGAAGGGACTTGGCTTTTATTTGACCGATTAAGAAAAAGTACCCCTTTCTCTGGATTTGCTCTCCATCTTGGTCTCAGGGGCACACATATAACCCCGTCTGAGCTGTGCTCTACTCAAACTTTTCCATCAGCAGCCCTCATCAACCTTCCAAGAAGCACACTGACCCTATCCTTATCCAGTAATAACTTGGAATTCATCTCACACCCCAGTGTGACCTATCACCAGTGACCTTCAGCAACCGATTCGGAATTACCCCCAACCTTTGGATTACCCACTGGTGCCCCAAGAGTCAGCAAAACAGCACATGCCCCTGTGTGGGTCATGTAAGGCCCTGCTCCATGACCATAACCATGTGCCCCACAGATTCATCTCTGTGCAACATAAAGCAAATAGAGAAATACAGAAATAAGTGGGAAAAAAAATAGCACAAAACTAAAGACAAAATGGCTGCAACAGACTTCTGTATATAAAGGATTACACTAGATGTTAATGGAGTAAACTCACCAATTATAAGGTAAAAAATATCTGGTTGGATTCGGAAACAGAATTCAACCTTCTGCAGTCTTCAGTGCATATGTCTTAGTTCCAAAGATAAAAAATATGTTCAAGGTAAACGGTTGGGAAACAATCCTACCACTGAATGGCACCTAAAGGAAGAGAGGGGCAGCCATATTAATATCAGACAAAATAGGTTTCCAGTTAAATAAGATAAGAAGATACAAGGATAGACACTGCATAATGTTGAAGAGAACAATATATCAGGAGAACATTACAATCAAAAACATATTCTCACCAAACGATGGAACACCAAAGTACATTAGCCAAGTACTATCAACTCAGAAAAACCTTGGAAAAATCACATTTGAGGCAGGCGTCTTGAACACCCTATTCTTGATACAGTGAAACAGGACAGGTCTCTCTTCCTGCCCCATCAGTAAATATTTCTGTCTGCTTGCATTTATCAAGTTTTTCTTCCTGCTATTTAAGGAAAAAGAAGGATATCCCTTAGAGAACAATGAGGAAGTTAAACATCTAAGGAAGCTAATCAGGTGTGAACAAAGCAAGCAGGAGCCCAGCAGAAATTTTTGTATGCCTGGACATTCCACTCCCAGGTATCTACCCAAAGGACACAGAAGCATTAATTCAAAAGGACACCTGCACCATTATGTTTATCGCTGCTATATTTACCATATGGAAGATGTGGAATCAACCCAAATGCCCAAAAATAGATGACTGGATCAAGAAGATGTGATATACCTACATAATGGAATATTACTCAGCAATTAAAAAAGACAAATTCATGCCATTTGTGGCAACATGGATGGAACTGGAAAAGATTATGCTTAGTGAAATAAGGCAGAAAGAAAAGGAAAAATACTAGATGGTCTTGCTCATAGCAGTAGTGTAAGGGAGAAGGGGAAAAATATATTTATATATATGTATATATATAGTCATTGTAATAAAGTAAAAAAGAACATCAACTAACAATCATAAACCAGAGACATTCTACAGAGGAGGAGAGGGAAACAAGATCAAAACAGGGGTGGGAAGAGCACATAGGACTATGGTGATGGCACATGGGTGAAGTGGTGGAAAATCCATGGGGATTACATCTGAGTTGAAAAAAAATGTACAAAATGAAGAATAATGTAATAAATATATATATATATATTTGCATGTATATATGTATATATGTGTGTGTATGTATGTATGTATGTATATATAACCAAAAAAGGGAAAAGAAGGACATGTTGACCCTTACCAACTCCCTTTTGTTTTACTCCTTTGTTTAAATAACTCTAACCTCTGCCAAGTTGCAGGATGGTGGTCTTTCAAAAATGAGTCTGCTGCCCTCGTCAGTTTGTGGACAGATCAAACCACTTTCCTTCTCCTCAAACTCTGTTTCCTTTTATTGGCTGAGGAAAACTGAGGCCAGCGTTTGGTACCACTCTCATCAATTGACAAATCAATGAGACAAAAATGGATGTGTTATTTCTCTTGTGGGCTTCCATCCCTGTGGAGGATTTCAGGTCCTCTTCCTTGGACTTTACTTAGACCAAGGACATGTGTCTACACACCCTTTGCACAAAGTACTCACTGATCCAGCAAACTTGTCATCACCATGCCCAAACGACTGCCACCTTTGTACACTTCTTTCCACCCACGTTCTGTTAACTGACGCTTGAATATTTGAAACCATTTTAAAGCCATCTGTGTTGATCTCTGCGGTACAGAATAGGTGTGTTTCAACCTTACAACTGTGCTCTGGAATTCCCTCAGTGTTGTCTCATACCTAAATATTATTTAACTATTTTTTTAGGAGCCAAAAGAAAAAAAAAAATCCCTATTCTAGTGACTTCCTTCTGTATAGTTCTTTATAATAAGACTTTTAATTTAACATTAAGACAACATTCATCAAAGTGATAATTCAGGAAATACAACTTGGGTCATTCTGTAACATGTACTGACATATTCCATAGTTGTTGTTTTTTTTTCCCCCTTTGGCTATCCTTATTACATGAAATTTATACTAAGTAAACTATTTCAGTGAATGGATATGTGCCCATTTTCAAACATATACTAAAATATTTCATATAGTTCATTATAACAAGATCCTTAATTAATATGACTTTTAGCAGGGTCATCTCAATAAACGTAATTTCTACCCACTTTGTCATGTTTTGAGTAATGTAAGTTTTATTTCCTAAAGTGGCAGTTACCCTTCTATAAAATGTAATATTTCATATAGTTTTTAAAAGATTTTTTATGTTACATGTCTAAACGTTTTGACATATTATTATTTCAAGCTATAATTTCTGATTCTCTAATATGTACTGAATTAATATAGTTTTCCAGAAAATTTGCAATGGTTATATGAAAACTACCTTCTGTACAGTGTTAGTTCACTAAGTGGAACTGGTACACTTTCTGAAACACATGCTGGAATGTTTCATATAGTTCTTTATAACAAGACTGCTAGAAACCCAGAAGTGGCTTTCAGCAAAGTTGTCAGTAAATGCAAGTATACGTTCTTTTTGTAAAATGTACTGACTGATTTATATACTTTCCAAGAAGTTTTTGATATAATAAAAAGGCTTTCAGTGCAATTCCAGTAAGTGAAACTTTATATATTTTGTAATATGTATTGAAATGTTTACTGTAGTTCTTTATTACAAGATTATTAAATTAAATGTGTTGTGAAACCATCCCAGGCCTGGCAGGTTCTCTGCTGAATTGGACAAATGCGAGGAGGATTTTGAAGCCACTGTTATACCCAACATGCCTTTAATGCTTAGACAGTAGACCACAGAAATGCAGGCAGAGAAGCTAAGACTAAAGCAGAATGTCAGGTGAAGGCCCTTTGCATTTTTAAGTGCTCATAGACATAC